TTCCCAGTCTTTCTGCTGTTAGGGTCAGTTTGCATATTTCCCTTTTACTATATAGGATAGAGGCCTGGGTGGGGGCTAGCTGGTTTGCCCTGAAAGGTGTCCTGGATTAGGGTGGTGGTCCCGCTTGGGTGCCTGACCAGCCTGGGTGAGGGGCTGATGACTGTTTTCAGGCTGCCCGCACACCCTTCAGGTTGGGGGTCCCCACTGGGGTGCCTGGCCAGCCTGGATGAGGAGCTGAGGGCTGTTTTCAGGCAGGCCAAGCCTGCAACTGAAGCTCCCAGTCTCTTCTTTTTTTCTTTTTCTTTTTTTTTATTCTGGGATTTATTTACCTTCTGTAATTGAAACTTCGTTGCGGCTCCAGCTCCAAGGCCAGCTGGCTGAAAGCAGGTATCTGGGATTTGTTTAGCTTCTATAATTGCAACATTGTTGCATCCAGAGCTCAGAGCTAGGCTGTGGCAGGCGGGGAACCTTGGCTTCCTCCATTGCCGGGGCAACCAAGCCTCATGTTCACTTCAGCTGCGTGGCTGCCGGCCGCCATCTTTGTTGGAAATTAATTTGCATATCCTGCTGATTAGCCAATGGGAAGCATAGCGGAGGTATGGTTAATTACCATGTTTGTCTATTATTAGATAGGATTATTGGCTATCTTCCCTACCCTGTAATTTACATCTCTGTGACTATATTGTAATTACCAATTTGGGTGGTCAGTGGCAACTTAGGTACAAGCTCAAACAAAAGAGGCTTCTTGCCTAACAGTGACATAAATATTTGGGTTATAGAAAGGCACGCCTGTGCAGTGTAGACAGTAAGATTGCTGTGTCCTTGCTCAGATTGGCCTTGAACATCTGGTATACTCTGGACAAGGCCCCCACATTCCACGCCTTACACTGGTGATTTCTATGGGATCCTCTGGCCTATCTTCCAGCACCTTGAGCACAGAGTTCACAACAGCAACACAAACTACAACATGTTATAACCAGTACTCCAGCCCCAATAGCAACACTCACAAATGCCCAATGCCTTACTCCTGAGAGTCTATCCCACCAACCTCGGAGGGGGTTATGGGACATGGCTTGTATGGTTCACCTGTACTTCCCTGTCTATCTCTTTCAGGCCACTGGTTACATTCCTTTGATTGTCAGATATATATGTACAGCATTCAACATGCAGGATGGCACAGGTGCCTCCCTGTGCAGCAGTTAACAAATCTAGTGTCATCCTCTTCTGCAATACCACTTTGCACATCTGCGTGATTTCATCCATCATTAGGGTAAGGGCTTTCTGGGTCTGACCCAAGTCTTTAGCTATATTCTCTGCTAAGGCTGTGACTTCTAACTGTACCTTAATTGTTCCTCCTGCAGGAAGAATATAGCTAAGGGGTAAAACCACCAGGTAGTCCATTTAACACAATGCCACCAGTGGTAAACTGAGTCCAAGTTATGGGGAATCTCTTCTAAAGTCTTAAGAATTTGCCCAGGGATATAGGGCCTACCCCAGGTACATCGATCCGACCAATTCACAGGGAGGTAAGGACAGCCATACCTTCCACACACCCATAAGTATCCTGGAATCATCATATCTACAGGTTTTGTGCCGCTATAATGCTTTCCATTCTGTCGCTTCTGAACCTCAACGTTAGTAGTTATGTTACAACACAAGTCTGGAGGCAGCCAGCCAACAACTCAATTCTTACTGAGTCACTGCTGCTCTACACACCTGTCTGCAGGGTCTCTTAATTCTACTTGTTCTCCTAGCAACCACCCCCAACCATTCCACACTGTATAACCAATAAAGGGGCGAGTATTGAGATGGTCCCACCAGATCAGAGTCTCTATGGCTTGGTACACAGAATCCCAGGAGATGTTGTTGAAGTCTTGGTCAGTTAACCATGTCCAATTGGCAGTGGTGGCCAGATGGATGTGCCATGGAAATCCATCGGCCACTCCTGGGGGAATGTCTGTGCACACCCAACAATGGGAGACATTATGCATTGAGCATAGGTGTGTGACCAGAACACTACGCTGTTAGCCAAGCTTTCCTGATCAAAGAGACAAAAGAGAAACTGAAACCATCATAGATAGATCACAGCCTTCTGGAAAGATGCAAGCAACTGTGTCTCTTCTAGATAGCACTGTGACTGGAATCAGAGGACAACCTGGCCAGTGATACCAAGTGGGATCTCCCTCTTCATAGGGGCCCGGTTTCACAAGGGAAGCTATGGGAAATCTGAGCACTGGTCAGAGGGGAATAGTGTAAGTCCCCTTTAACGATGTACCCCTCCTATGCTTTCTGGCTTGGACTTGCACTGTTACTGGCCAGGGCTGGATCAAAGGGTGCAACTGGAACTTGTAGTCGTACCCAATTCCCCAGGGCCCTTCCCCAGTAACAGTCCATGGCCAGGTCCACACTGCCTCATTCCCCTCTGCCAAGTGGGCAGGTGTGTAGGCAGCAGCAAAGTTTCCAGATGGGTGTACCTTGGGGCGCAATAGTTCATTTGTTGTTTTCACCTGCACATGCAGCGTCTGAGGATACCTCCGCATCATTAACTCAAAGGGAGAAGCACTCGCTGTTCATTCAATCATCTAGCCCAACTTTTTAGGCTAGATGGGTCCACCTCTAGGCAGAGCTTGTCTTTTACCAGGCCGTTATACTGTTCAATCACCCCAGCAGCTTGGGGATTATATGGAACGTGAAACTGCCAAGCTATATCCTGGGCCTTGGCCCAGCTCTGTACCTCCTTCCCTGTGAAATGGGTTCCATTATCACTTGCTATGCTAAGGGGTCACTCATAGGTGGCCTCCAAGTGTTCCAAACCATGGACAACTGTCCGTTGGGTGGCCTCTCTTGCAGGGTGAGCAAAAAGGAGGCAGGTGGCAGTCAGGGCATAGTTAAAACCCTAGTCCAGAGGGAGAGGCCCAATGAAATCCACCTGCCAATGTTGCAGAGGGGTCCCTCCTCTGAGGACATGGCCCTTCTTCCCCTGGAGGCCATATCGATGGGGCGGGGGGAAGGTGTCCGAGCACAGCAGGGACAACCTCGTACTGCAGCGAGGGGTTCCCCTGTGGATAGGGCCAGGCCCCACCTCTCAGCCACCTGCATCATTGTCTGTTGTCCCACGTGCCCTAGTTTCCAATGGAGCCACCAAGCCCAATCTTCGGGGGAAGGTACTATCTCCTGGATCCTTGCCAAGGCATTTGCCTCATCATTCTCAGGGGCTAACAGTGGTCGATGGCCACTCAAATGATATATTATTGCCTCTTTGGAAGTCTCTACTTCCCATATATCCTTTCACATTTCCTGTCCCCACACGGGACGGTGTCCTACCAGCCACTATTGCTTGTGCCATTGTGGCAACCACAAAGTCAAGCCTTTAAAGATAGCCCAGCTGTCTGTTACAATGATCAAAGGGCCAGGCTCCTTTGTCAACACCATCCAGACTGCTCTTGGTTCAGTCCATTGGCTACTTTGCCCAGTACTAGAATCAAATGACAGTTTGTCTGTATTTAAATGGACAGCCACTGCTGTACATGTAGCAGCGCTCCCCCTACTTGATCCGTCTGTGTACTACATGGTCTCTGGGAGAGATGGCATAGCTTCTCGGAATGGACTAGACTCGAGGGCCACAATGGGTTCTTAAACTGGACCGGAGGGCCGGAACAAAAGCATGGATGGAGTGTTTGTGTGAACTAATATAAATTCAAAGTAAACATCATTACATAAAAGGGTACGGTCTTTTTGTTTTTTTTTTCGTTTTATTCATTTCAAACGGGCCGGGCCGTAGTTTGCCCACGGCTGGACTAGGGAGTACCTCCTCTATAGGAGTTTCATCCCTTGACAGGGTCTCATATGTCACAGGACCCAACAGGGTTTGCAATTTCTGTGACAGAGGCCTGGTACTCACCACTTCCCTCTGTTCCAAATAGGCCTCCATTTTGCTAAAGTTGGGGGTTTGTGCCACTCTCGACTTGGGTGTGGTCACCCAAAATCTAAGCCACTGGCTATAGAATAGGCAGTCTTCACAAGCCGAGCACCTTACTTTGTGTTGTGATTGCCTCACAGGCCTGCAGGGCTACATAAATGGCAGCCAACTGCATCTCACTGAGGATGTACTGACACTTGGCCCCTTTGCACAGCTGAGACCAGAACCCAATAGGCACCCTTCTCTGCCCATGCTGTTGCCATAGATCCCAACCAAACCCTGATGGAGTAACAGTTATGTCCAACTGGAATGGTTGTGTTAGATCTACAACCTGAAAGCTTTGGGCTTCTTGGTAATGAGAAAGGCCTCCTCAACTTCTGGAGTCCAGTGCCATGTCACCCCTGTTCCAGAATAACAGGTACAAGGGCCACAACAGTTGTGCCAGATGGGGATGAACACTCACCAATACCCTAAAAGACAACATAGGCCTGTAACTTTCACTGTTGTAGGTCGGGGAAAAGCCTGCACTTTGTCAATAACTGCCTCAGGTATCACCTTGGTCTTACTAGACCAGACAACTCCCAAGAATTTGACAGACAAGCCAGGTTCCTGGACCTTGGCAGTCATTAACCACCCATCCCTATAAGTCCAATGCCTGCTATAGGCTACTGGCAACTGTGTTCAAATCTGCAAGAGAATCAGAAGTTAGCATGATGTCATCAATATAATGGAGCATTGTCACTGTGGGAGGCTTGCCCCAGTTGGCTAAATCTTGGGCCACCAGATCATGATAGGCGGTAGGGTTGTGTAAATAAATATCCTTGAGGGAAAACAATAAAAGTCCACTGTTGACCTTCCCACATAAAATCAAACTGTTCCTGACACTCTGGAGCTATATCTATGGAAAAGAAAGCATGAGCCAAATCAGCCACATAGTGGAATCACCCTAACAACATAGCTAGGTGATTGATCAGATCCGTTATAGCCGGAATTGTGGAATGTAATGGGTAGTCACTTTATTCAGTTCTCTGTAATCTACAGTCATTCACAAGGTGCCGTCAGGCTACTTCACTGGCCATACTGGACAATGTAGGGGCTGTGCGTGGGCCAGATGATCTTCGCCTTCTCCAGCTGCAATATCTTCTCTCTGATTTCCTCTTGACCTCCTGGGAGGAGGTACTGCCACACCCACACCACCTGGCAGGGATTAGGCAGTGTCACCACCATGTGATGTAGGTGCCCCCTTGTGGTAGGCTTTACCACACACACCCATAGGCGGAATTCACCCTGGGTCATTGCAATTGTTAACCCTTTTAGCACGTCCACTCCCAAGATGTATTCTGGTATGGGAGATATATACACAGTATAGGCCTTTCAGCAGAAGGCGGCCAATACTCAGTGTCAAGGTTGCCTGCCATACATGAACAGTTCTGCCTCCATATCTGTCTGTATATCTGTCAGGGTTACAATACAGTAAACTGTAGTCTGCACCCATATCAACCAGTGCCAACATACATTGCATGTTGCAGGGATGGGGGTGGGGTGGGGAGAACCAATATATTGTGAGTTCAACATACAACCGCCAGTCCTCCGGGTCCCCTCTCCTGACTGGGTTCCTTGGCCTGTTCCTCAGTCTAGGACATTAAGCTCCTCCTCCTCAGGGGAACCTAAATAGTCCTAGAGGCATACTGGTCTAGGGCAGTGGTCGGCAAACTGCAGCTCGCGAGCCACATGCGGCTCTTTGGCCCCTTGAATGTGGCTCTTCCACAAAATACCACGTGCGGGCGCGCATGTACAGTGCGATTGAAACTTCATGGCCCATGCGCAGAAGTCGGTATTTTGTGGAAGAGCCACACTCAAGGGGCCAAAGAGCCGCATGTGGCTCGCGAGCCGCAGTTTGCAACCACTGGTGGAACTGCCTTTCTTCAGTAGCTTCTGGAAATGCTTTCCTACCAGTAATTGCCTCCACAAGGCCAGCAGCACATCATTAGGCTGCTGATCTATCTTCTCTTTCCTAACCCCTGTAGCCAGCAGATCCACCCACATTTGCGTGCGGGAGATTTTCACAGGTTCTGTCCCCACCACTTTTCTGGATCCCGAGCCCGTGGTCTTAGGCACCGCCTTATGTAACGTAGGCTTTTGCACAGTGATGGGTTTCGCTATTCCCTTTTATCATCACTTGACTTTCACATCCCCCAAGCTGGCCATGGCTGTAATTACCTCATGTATACAGTGGTTTACGAAAAGGGTCAAAATAGCTGCCAGCCACCCAAACGCTGCTGGAGGGGCTGCAGTGAGAATCAAGTCTTTCCTACGCATCAAAAAATGCTCATCATCAGGACCACAAGTATTCAAGTTAAACATGGCTTGTTTCGTGCCCATTTCCTGTATCACTTGCACTAAATCTACATTCATAGTCCATTTACTCATGGTTTCTGGCAATTCTCTGGCATCCTGCCAAATGCTTCGAGATGCCACCATTAACCAATCCATCAGGGAGTGATCTCCCTGTCTGACTCCCAAACAGTGACTGATCTGCAGTCACTGCCGCAAAGAGGGATGGGTCATTATTGAGGCTAACTTCTCCATCTTGGCTGGAGATAGCTCTCTCAGTGTTGCAGTTTCAAGGCATTAGGAGCAACCAGTCTACCTGCCTGACAACCTTCTACTGGTCTTTGGGGATTGTGCCCATCAAGGGCAACAAAGCCTTCTCTAATGCCTTAACTTACTCCCAATCTTCCAAGGCATCAGAACCACTGCTACCAGATACCATAAACCAGTCAGAGGCCACATGTCCTCCAATGGGATAGATGGGGGTACTTACCCCAGAATCCTGCCCACTACTACACCAAGTTCCTCAGCCAGGGACTTGACCCTTCTGGGGGCAGGAAATTGGAAGAACACTCAGGTGCAAGCAGACAAGTGGAACATGCTTTATTACAACAAAACAGCCAACAACTGGCTGGTCAGTGGCAACTTAGGTACAAGCTCAAACAAAAGAGGCTTTTTGCCAAATAGTAACATCAGTATTTGGGTTATAGAAAGGCAAGCCTGTGCAGTGTATACAGTAAGATTTCTGTGTCCTTGCTCAGATTGGTCTTGAACATCCGGCGTACGTTGGACAGGGCCCCCACACCAGGTTATGTTAGTTTTCAATTTTCAATCATTATTTATTCAAATAGGTTTTCAATCCCTTTCTCTCTCTTTTCTCCTTCTGGTTCCCCTGTGATGCAAATGTTGTTATTCTTTATCTTGTCCTAGACATCCCCTAAACTAGTCTCATTTTTTAAAATTCTTTTTTCTGTTCTGATTGGGAGATTTCTGTTACCTCTTATTCTGAATCACCGATTCAGTCCTCTGCTTCCTACAACCTACTGCTTATTCCTTCGGGTGTATTCTTAATACGCTTACTATCTCTCTCTTTTTTTAAAAAATATATTTTATTGATTTTTTACAGAGAGGAAGGGAGAGAGATAGAGAGTTAGAAACATCGATGAGAGAGAAACATCGATCAGCTGCCTCCAGCACATCTCCCACTGGGGATGTGCCCGCAACCCAGGTACATGCCCTTGACCGGAATCGAACCTGGGACCCTTCAGTCCGCAGGCCGACGCTCTATCCACTGAGCCAAACCGGTTTTGGCGCTATCTCTTTTTTTTAAGTTCCCAATGAGTTCATTCATTCTTTCTCTAAGTTCCTTGAGCATCCTTATAACCATTGTTTTGGATTCTGTATCTGGTATATTCCATTTTATTTATTGGGGGGAATTTCTCTTGTTCTTTAATTTGAGGCATTTTTGTTTCCTAATTTTGGCTGCCTCTCTGTAGTTGTTTCTGTGTATTAGGTAAATCTTCTATGTCCCCAGTCTTGGTATAGTTTTTTATAGTAGGTATTTTATGGGGAGCCCGCTGTGGGGTTAAAACCCCAAGCTTCTCAGGAGTAAACCTTTGCAGCTAAGATATTCCTCCAGATTCTCAGCTGCTGCATGTGGGTGCAGGGCCAGCCCTTTTTGCATCTCCACCCTTCCTACCAATCAAAATGTGGCTTCTTTTATAAATCCTTGGTGATAAAAGTACAACTCAGCTCATCTTCATTTGACTATTCAGGTTGATTAGTCTATATTTTAGTTGTAATTCCAGGTTGGTTCTGGGAGGAGATGAGTGTAACTTCAACATACTCTGCTGCCATCTTGGATTCTCCCAGAGAATTTCATCCCCAGGCCTGAGATCTAATCAAGTTTTCCTAGAAAGATATTAAAATGGCCCTGGCCAGTTTTTCTCGTGGTTAGAGTGTCTACAGACTCAAGGGTAATGGTTCGATTCCAGTCAAGGGCACATACCTTGGTTACAGGCTTAATCTCTGACCCCAGGACTGGGCGCATGCAGGAGGCAACCAATCAATATGTCTCTCTCACATTGATGATTCTGTGTCTCTCTCTCCCCCTCCCTTCCACTCTCTCTAAAAATCAATGGAAAAAAATATCCTTGGGTGAGGATTAACAAAAAATAAAAAGAAAGACATTAAAACTTATTGTCAACTGTGGGGCAAAAATCTAATGGCCACCATAACAAGAAGGTATCTTCAGACCAAAAGATGAAGCAAGCAACTGCATAGAAAATAACAGAATTACAAGGTAATTTACTTACAGGAAGATTGGGCCAGAGTGGACAGATGACCCAGCAATTTTTCTTAAGTTATTATTCACTACCAGTACAGTACTTCTTTTATAGTATAACTTAGGTATAATGATTGGCAAGACAAAGAGACAAAGAATGCAATAGTTGCAGGGGGCATCCCTCCTGGTGGTCTTATGATAAATGATTGTTTATAATTGATACTTACCTAATTGATACTCTTACCAGTTTGATATTTATCTCAGGTGTCAGGCCATTCTGGCTGTTGCTAACAAAAATATTTAAGGCTACATTTTAAGGAACACAGATCAACATCAACTAGAAGGTTTGCTAAGGACAGTGAAGTTGGTCGAAAGATCACAGCATGAAACTTAAAATGAAATCTGGACACAGAGAAAGAATTAGTTTTGTTCATATATACATGTATATACTTAAGAACCAGTAACTCGGAAGACAAGATGGCGGCGATATAGGCAGACACGTCCCAGGTCGTGTCCTGGAGCAAATGGAGTAAGCAGCTGAAACTAGTAACACCCACCCCAAATTGGCGAAATTACTCAGCTGGTGAGGCAGTTTGCAGCTGGGAAGGGCAGAAATCCCCTGGAAAGGTAAAAAAAAACCCAGGGATCTGGGCAAAAAAGTTGCCAGACCTCTGAGCCCAGAGGGTTAGAGGGAGACCGCGTGGCAGACAGCCGTGTCCCTTGGGACAGGCACAGCCCCTGACTGGAGAAAGGAGATCTGAGGGATTCCTGGTACCGCGGGATTTGAAATCTGGGTTCTGTGATCACGGAGGACTGAGCCTAAAGGGGGAAGCCTGAAGAGCTGACCAGACCATGCAGTGCCGGTAAGAGAAGAGCTTACAGAAACTCAGCCTTCCCCGTTTCCGTGGCCGGCGTTTGTTTGTTTGTTTGTTTTCACTGAACCTTGTTCATAAGACATTTCGGATACAGACACTCACCTGTGCTGAAGAGAGGGAGAAGGTGTGGACGAGTGGAATCTGGGTAGAGGCTGAGGAGAGAGGGGATCTGGGAGAGGTGGCAGTGATTTGAGTGCTGAGACACCCCTGGGCCCAGGATTGGGGCAGCCATTCTCTCCGGAGGGTGGGACTCCTCCACCTAGCCCCCAGGCAAGGAGCACAGCCACACCCAGATTCCACCCTGAACGAGATGAAGGATTAAAATAATCTGATTAGTCCCTGGGAGTTAACAGGGTCTGGCCTATAGAGGGATTTTCAAACCCAGCAATAACACAGAGCAGGGTAACGATTAAAGAACCAGCTCTGGACAGTTGATCTCCCCAAACCAGTTTTAAGTGCAATAAAGAAAATAAACCCTTGCTACTGGATAGAGAAGCCATATAGCCTCAGAGGCCAACCCAAAAACACTGCCACCCAGAGGCTGAGCCACAAACTGACTCTTAGCTAAATACAAATTAAGGCAGTTAGGGACACAAATACGGCCTGCTTTAAAATCAGGGCTGTGGTTTACAACACGGAGGAACAGTGTATCACAGGGAAATTCAACACTCTCCTGACTACCTGGCAGGACTAAGGTGAGCCAGACTGACGAGTAGAAGAACTGAAGGACCTTCACT